GTCTCCCCTTCTCGCTGCTGACCCGTGTCCTCCTTTGATTGGATTGAAGCGAGGTCCACTGCGCATGTGACGTGTCTGGCGTCCTAGGCGACGTCTAAGACGGCTCGTAAGACACCTCACATCAGCTGCGTGTCCCACCTGCGAAGCTGCCACCTGCCCTCCTTCCTTCTTGCTTCGGATCCGAGGCTCGCACTATAAATAGTGCCTGCGAGACCTCCTGACTAATGTTGGATTTTTAGCACTTTTTCACCTTTTTTCAATATTTTAGCTACTTCCACTTCCCCCGAATCCCCAGTAGTATTTCTAACACCTGAAACACGTCCCGAAGTGCCCGAGAAGCCCAATAAATTTATCTTTTCGGTTTGAAGCCCTACCTTCGCAGAGCTCGATTTTCAAGAAAGCTCCCGATTTTTATAGAAGAAAGCTATTTATAGTAACGAAGTGCTGACCAAATTACTATTTTAACCACCGGTTACTTCAAAGTGAGTTTAATATATAGGACCAATTGTATCTTATGTGTTATATGTGTTATGTGCTTTTCAGTGTTATTATTCCAGGTTATTTTCCCGTGTTATTTTGTTTATTCGCTATTTTTAATAGGAAAGAAAACCTTTGACCATGTGATACTTGTGTAGTTGTGTTTAATGGTTGGCATTGGAGGTATTAATTTGACAAGTAGTTTGAAGATCAACTTAATAGCTCCTTAATAAAAAGAATAAAGAAATGCTATTAATTTTTGTAATTATAATTTTTACCCAGAATAATGATGTTCTTACTTTTCTGTGCCCATATGGCAAGTTGCATTCTTTTTAAGAATGACAACAATGTAGATTCATTTTGCCATTATTAGCAAGTATTTTGCTATTATGCTTAAAAAAATGTATGTGCAGTGTGTTATGAACTACAATAAGCTACATATTGCTAAATGCTATATTTATTAATAACATACTAGGTATGAGACCCGTATATTATACAAGTTGATTAAAAAAATTAAATATAAATATATATATTTTAAATATTTTTATAGTAAATAACAAAATAAATATGACCAAGATGATGAATAAGTAGACACTTCAATCTATAATTCTATAGTAATAAAAAACTATTGGAATATTTTTAACAATTGTCCTCGATCATAACATTTCAAAGACTTTTTTGAATACAACATTAGATATCATATTGATTATTTATCGTTATTGTTTAAAATAAATATTTTTAATCCATCTTTGTCTTTATTTATGGACAATACAACATACAAATATTCATTAATGAAACATACGACCAGTAGAAATTGTATTTTTTGAATGTGAAAGGAATCCTTCTATTGAAGTCATTCTTAGAATTAACATACGATTTCCCATATTATTTACGGATATTATCTCATTACTACAAATGCTGATAAAATTTGAAATTAAATATTTTTTACCCTCTTAACATATATTTTTAATTTTGAGCCACTATTTATAAACGTGATATGTTATTTATAATTTTGGGATATTTTCCATAAAAAACGATATATTGTAGTTGATTTTTTGTCGTGTAATTATAATCTAAGTGGGATGAATTACCATTTATCACTTGTAAATTTAGACAAATACAATACAATTTTATAGTAACTATTACAAACTAATAAAATATTTTTACAGTTTTTGCAATATTTATTACAAATAAAAATAAAGAAAAGAAATTGTCAAATTCATTTATAAGTATAAAAATCATTAAAAAACAAAAGGATAAATCATGGAACATAGATATGATATGTCAAACTTGGTGTTGCCTTCATGGACATATTATAAACTCATCTTTATACTAAAACTATGGTTATTGGAAGTTTGCATCATGATTTTTCAATTTACGGCTACAGACGCAAAATACTCACGCCTTACTCTATGGAAGGAGTAATTGGATTGATCATTCAAAGTACATGGCCTGATAAGAAAAAGAGAGTGAAACAACAATGTTCTTAATAACAAAAATATTGAAAGTATAAAGTTGTAATAGAAAGAAATGAAGGTAAGATGCTATAAATAAACAAAGAAATGTACTTAGAGATGTAATTGGCAATGAAATTAAGGCTAAGAAGGGAGGAACTACAAAGAAATGTACAATTGCAATGAAATTAAGGCTAAGAAGGGACGAACTACGAGAACATGAAGTGAATGAAGGGGGAAAATTTATATATGTGAAGTTTTGCTATTTACATGTAAAACTTTTTATCACAACTGAAATCATAAAATGAATAAATAAATAATAATAACGACTTCGATTTAGAGGGTGTTTGAGATTACTTTTCAATAAGACTTTTTGGATATTTGGTTTTCTTAAAAAAATCAAAAGTTTAAAAAGATGTTTGACAATTCAAAAAATTCTTTTAGAATGACTTTTTGGCAAGAAGAAAAATAAGTTCTTTTAAAAGTCATGAATTGGTGATTTTTTGTGACTTTTAAAAGTCTTTTTATCGAAAAAAACATTTTAGCTTAAAAAACAATTCCAAACACCCCTTTATTATCTTACTTATGCAATACACTTATTTATAAAGATTCGTACAATTTGAGAAAAATCACAAGAATGGTAAACACATATGAAAGAGACTTCGATCGAAGCCCCCCCTACATGAACTTCAAAACCAGAAGGATAAATACCATCAAATCCACAACATTTTCACGCTTAATTGAGAAAAATTCCATTATTATTATTTTTTTGTTGACTCTTGTCCTACAAGAAAAAACAATATAAGATATAAATACGTAAACACCAAAAAGAAGTATACACTTTAAATAGTAAAGCGTACAAAAAAGTTGCAAACAATAAACATGTATCAATAGTTCTTCGAGTATTCCACTATTCATCATAGATAATAAAACTTCACCATGCCCTGGGGTTACCGATACATCAAATCTACTTATAAGTCCTGAAATAAAATGGATAGTATTTTATTAATTTTATTAAAACTAATAATACAAGAAATTAGTTACTTGATTACTTGTGATGCATTATTATGTAAACCATGGTAATATGGTACTATGGAACAGTGCATCAAAATGTAGTTCCCAAGACCAACTTATGGGCATACATGCATAGTTATACACATACATATACATACTAACATACAGACACATAAAAAAATAAGATAATATATTTGACAAAACAAAAAATGAAAATAGGATACTACATTTGATTACAATTCTTCTAAATGAATCCATTACTCATTTTAACTCCTCTGTCAACGCACTCCATTATTGGACTTAAAACCGTACATAAAATTAAAATACATTGTAGCCTATATCAATGAAAACTGGTATATATTTTTGTCTGGGGTAGAACATTTGCGTCGTGACATGGTTGCCTACTTGCTTACTGTTTTTGGATCATCCATGAATCCCCCAAAGTAATAATACCCAAGTGGGATATGATCTAATCCATCTTCAACACAGTATCTATAGTCTCCGAATTAATAAATAATTTATTCACAAAAATCATTTATACCAATAGTCAGTTAGAACCGATATAAATTGGCAAGCAAACCTGTTTTCTTGAAGGCAACTTGTAGGTCTTTCCACCGTGTGTAATGGAAACGAACCAGAGGTAATTAGTTTATCAAACTCCATATCTAGCTTTGCACCATTCAAAAATTTGGCTTCAGTTCTAACTGTGTTACCATTCTGTTTGACTTCTTATACTTGCGTATTGCAATGAAATTGTGCAAGGAACTATTAGCTTATTTTATCCCAAATGCTCGTATAACCCCCTTTGAATCGCCAAAATTTTCCAGCCATTGAAGTCATTCTGAATTCTATGAATGGAAGTGTAAGGCGTATCCTGTCTTTATTATCTTCCATTGCCACACAAATGGTGAAATAATATCTAAACCCCAAACATGAGAGATACAGGGGAGATTAGGAAACCAAGGCGAGATTCTTGGAATGCCAAATCCTCCTTAATAAATAAATGTTTTTTTTTTTTTTTTTTTTTTTTTTTTTTTTTTGCCATTTGTCAATCTCTCATGGATTTTGATACTTATCATTTTGTGGTAATTTTGAAATAAATATTATCCACTTATCAATTTTTGGTTTATTTTAATTTATAATTAAAATCATATATTAATTAAATATATGTAAAGTATTATATATATATATATATATATATATATATATATATATATATATATATATATATATATATGATATTAAATTGTAATAAATACGCTTCTTTCTTTCTTATTTTAAAGTTAAAATATTTTATTTTTATATTTTAGGTTTAATCATTTTTTAAATTACCCCGTATAATATACGGGTTTCACATCTAGTAAAAATCAATGTCAGATATGAGGTAAAGAAAGCGGTAATAAAACAACCTTTTTGTGATTCTCTTTAAAATATTGATATTATAAATAAGCTTAAATTTAGAAATATTGAAATTAGGTGGAAAATCTTCATTAACTAATCATTATTAAAATTGATACTTTACATATAAATTGTGGATTTTAAATTTTTAAAAATGAAAAACACAAGAATATGCCATGTGGAAAAAAAAAAATTAAAAATACAAGAAAATTACATTTGTCAAAACTTAATAAGTACATGATATTAAATATCATATCAAAAATGATTTTCATTTATTAGGATATTTATTAGGGTAGATTATAAATATGGTGTTGTTTTGAAAAAGAATTTATACTTATATTATTTTGGTAAAAAAAAAATTGAAATACAGTTCCCGAATTTTAATGTAAAAAGTTTTCAAAAAACTAAAATTGCAACTTAAAATCTTCATTTGTGCCACTAGTATAGTCTGAAAGCCTATCAGGTAACTAGTGCACATGGCCTTGAAAATTATAAAAATGGTATTTTTTTTTTTATATATTCGGAACCATTGACCATTTTGATAAACAACCTTCCAAATACACACCAATCATGAAATCATGATAATGATAATGCAAGGCCATAACCAAGAAAAATGATAATGATTATGAACTGACAAAAACAAAGTCATTAAGGTTGCCTAAATCGTGTTTACACAATTAATATGAAGCAAGACCATTTGCTGCACTGTTTTGTTGTCATATTCAAGAGTCAAGACTCATGGATATCTCTGATTAGTCATTATTATTATAAAGATTTAAAATTTTCTCTAGATAGTGTTACAAGACAAAGTTTCCTATACATACATTTATAATTATAATTATCTCATATCGAGAACTTTCATCTCATTCGTATATATATATCTTGAATCTTGATTCATTCACCAGCCCATAAGGGTTCTTCTGACTTTGTCAACAACATCACGTTTAGCTCGATTGTTGCTTCCTCGACTTTCATCCAAAAGGAACCTATATACTTCCCACTGCCGTCGTGAACTCGAGTGTCTTCCTATCTCCGCCTACACAAAAATCCAAAACAAAATCTTTATTTTTTTTTACACACAAAATTTAAGCAATTAAATAAAACCTACGCAATTGAAGTTCATAGTTAACTACTAGTACTAACCGAAAACACACAAATCCCGAGTGTCTTCAATGCAAGCGTAGCATCATAAAAAACCCGAGGCCTTCCCTTCCCAGATAACTCAACAGGATTAGCAACCACAAGTTCTGTATCAGGCCCACGATTCGTAATCATAACTCTTAAGGGATTCAGCATCTCCTCCTTCAGTCTACAACATAATAAAGTCTGGCTATCTTTATCCACAATCTTTTTCCCATCTTCTTTTTGAATAAATAGATCCAAACTCCTGTACCCTTTATCGCTGCTCCAGATTCTCCCATGCACAATCTATATAAAAACAACCAATTCAGTAAAAAAAAATTCACAATTAATTAAATTCGTTAAATTAATTGTAAAGAGAAAGAGTATATACACGGATATTGCAGTCCTTGGAGATCTTGAAAATGTCATACACGAGACCTTTCTGATCAAGACACCGTATTTGAAGCAATGTATGCGTTGGGCTCAGTAAATTATCGACTGTTATGCTAGCTTCAGACTGTGGACGATCAACATCAACCTCATATCCTCCGAACAATTCTTGAGCAACTGTTTCTGAAATACAAGAATGTCCTTGTTGAACATCGTACTCTGTTCCTGCTACCTCAAGTTCACACGTGATACAACATCCTCCCAACACGGCACTAAGGTGTTCACATGTTTCCTCACGTCGTATCTTCGTGTGAAGCAACTCCCTGCATGGAAATTTATTAATTCACCTATATTTCACCTCAAATCATTCATCGTTGTAAAGAATTAGAAGAAGAAGAAGACGACTACGATTGAGGACTTACATGCCATCTGTAATAAAGAAAAGGTCCAGAACTTTTCCATCTGGCGTTGTTGTCACTTTAACTCTCTGAATCGCTAGGTCAAGATCACACAGGACTTTCGTCACATCTATAATAAAAGTTTTAATTGGGTCAAAATCAGAACATGAAAAGACTAGTTTTGAAATCATGTGAACTCGATCTTTACCATGTATCAACCCTTTTCGATCGAGGGAGAAAACTTTCAACAGGTAGAGTGGAGGTGATTTGGAAGAATCAGAATCAGAACCAGAAAGGTGATTGAGATAAAATGTGGGTAAACATGAAGGGCAACAAGATAAAAGCCGATTTTTTAAGCTTTCCCAGTCGATCCTCATTGAGCTTGGGCGTGGGACTACCCATAAGACTACGTAACACCATCTTCCATCAGTCGAGAAATCTAATGATCAAAATGCGTATTTTTAACAATTCAATATCATAAAACCAATTATAGTTTGTTCATAAGCAAGTGGAAGCATTTCAACACAATCAAGCATCCATGATATGAATGATCCAATTTAACTAAAATTGACAGAACAAGAAGTTAAATCTTAGCAGCGATTATTTGGGAGAAAGAAAGTAAATTTAAATTCTGACCTCCACGGGTAACATAGAGTCCGAATTCAAGTACAATCCGTAACAGGTCACATCCCAGCCCCGCCTTGTCGGGGCAGTTCACCGTCACCACCGTCGGGTCGCCGGAAGTCTTACTTCTCTCGATCAACACCACGTCTTCCCAGGACATCCCCATCCTCTTTCTCTATTTATCCGATTTAGCTCCTCCCCTCAGGCGACTAAAATGCGTCGGTCATGGCCGGAGACGGTGTAATTCCGGGTGGTTTTGTTGATGAAAACTTCACATCATTTCCCCTCCTTCAACTTTATCCCAATCCATATGATAATTGATATGTGTGACATTCGGTAGAAAACGAATGGGGTATTTGTGGTGCGGTAGAGTGTTGAACCTAGGTCGTATGATTTCCACGTCAGCGTCATGGTACATGACACGTGTCAATGTTCCGTATAAGTATGTGAGAGGTGGTACAAATCTGAATTCTGAAAATCGGTTAGTTGCGTTGCGGTGTTCAGCGGGAAGCCTCCTCTTCTTCTATTATCCCGTAATAAATTAAAATCGTTTATTTTTTCAATTCGAATCATAGAAGAATATACATTTTTTTATTGGAAATTATAATTAGATATACCAATTTTTGTTTCTTTATTTGTTTTTTTTTAAATAATAAATATCTTCATTATTTATTAATTTTTCGAAAAAGTAGCAATAAGTAAAAAAAATTCACTATTGTGTAAGTGTTTTTTAAAATGATTTATTGGCATGTTTTCAAAAATAAAGAAATTTAACTTTTAAATGTTTTTAGCTTTTTAAACCGAAAAAACCTATACTACCACTCTCGTTTTCTCTCATACTCTCTTTTATGTCACTTTTAATTCTTTTATAAATATAAATCATTTTCCCACTATTAAAATTTAATTCAAATATTTTTTTGCTATCACCGTAAATCAATAAACATTTTTGTCCAAACTCAATAAACATTTTTGTCCAAAATCACTTTTGAAGTTCCAAAGGAATCTCAAACACCCTTTTAATAATCATCATAATAACATCATATAAATCAATTAGGTGTTGGTGATTTTAGTGTTATCAACATATTTGGTATAATTATTATTAATAATGATATAAATTTGACTTCATTTACTAACTGAGCTTGGAGGTGCGGGGTGTACACTCGATGTGATAAATGTGAACTCGAAAATACGGGGGTTCGGTGGCAACCCCCTGGGTGCAGGGTTCCAGGGGGATGCAACCCCTTGGTGGGGTCTAGGGCCACGCCCCTAGCGGTGGTTCTGCTAACTTCCTTAGCAACAATTCATAATTTAGTGATTCACTAAATGGATGTTAAAACATCATTCTTAAATGGTGATTTAGAGGAAGAGGTGTATATGAAACAACTTGAGGATTTTATTATGCTTGGAAATGAGCATAGGGTGTGCAAATTGGTTAAATCATTGTATGGGCTAAAACAAGCACCAAAACAGTGGTATCAAAAATTTGATGATTGTTACTTGTTAGGGTCAGGATCCCAGAACTAGATTCCTGATCCTCAAACCTCAGGATCCTCAAAAATACTTAAGGATCCTGATTATTATCGTTTATTCTCCTAACGTTTATAACGGTTATATGTTATGTTATTTTTCTCACGTGCAAAAATAGTCAACCAAAGACTTATTCTCAACGAATAGTCGTCGTGACCTTGCAAAAGACCCAGAAGACCAAGCCAAGTAACATCTATAAGTTGATCTCGGAGGATCCCGGAATTATCAGACTTCTTGTTATTAGCTTTAGACTATAAAAAACACTTGTATTCATCACACCACACACGACACTTAGTAGAACTACAATACTTGTACTTGCTTTTTATACATACATCCCTATAATCATCATTTTCAATCAATAAAACTATTAAGGCAGATGATCATTATTACCTCCCAAGGTTTTATGCCGAAGATCCTAACAATGATCAAAGGCTTCCCTTGTAAACCACCCATATCATTTTGATCATCATTTCATATTTATTCTACCATGAACATCACAACCTTTCATACAATTTGGTTGATTTTTGATTGTTCATTTTTTGACCAAAACAATTTGGTACTCACCGTGGGGCTGTGGTGTTCAAAATCCTTCGAAAAATCATGTCTACACAATCGACCCTGTCCTCTTCCTCAATTCCTCCTGTTTCCTCCGAAAACCTTCCACCACCTCCAGCTGGAGCTCCCAAGAAAGCCTTAGAAGCACCGAAGAAAAACACCTCTTGGTCGTTACACCAGGACTCTAGCATCCTCCTGTGCTAAAATAGGAGGATAATAGGACAATTCTCAAGAAAGTGGAGAGAATGAGGATATAAATCCACAAGCCTCAAGAAGTAGCACCCTCGATCCTGTAGCCTAAGATCCTAAACTTTGACAACATGGGATCCTGAGTGATTCGCCGCGAGATAGGATCCTCAACACCAGACTCTGTTCCCGCCTGGGGCACGACTCCGAGAGAACAAACCCATACGACCCAGGATCCCAACAAAACCTTTGTTACTCCCAATAACAAGGATCTTGGTAACCCCCGTCAATAATAATATCTTTACTACTAACTCAATGGATCTTGATATAGGTTTAAGATCGATCATGGCTAGGGAGCTCCAACAACTAAGACAAATGATTTCGAGCATGCCTAGAGTGGTTCAACCTGTACTAGAAGTATCCCCCACAAGCCACGGGATCTCAAGATTTGTTTTGATAATAGTTGATACCGAAGTCCCAAAGCGCTTCCAAACCCTCAACATGAAGCCTTATGATGGAACTACAGATCCTGAGGAGCATGTGACACAATACAGAGAAATGATGGAGATCATTCCCATTCCCACTCACTTAAAAGAAGCTTGCATGTGCAAGGGTTTTGGTTTAAACCTCACGGGAACAGCTTTACAATGGCTCCTTAACGTTCCTCCTCATTCTATTACGTCGTTTGCTCATTTGATTAATTTATTTAACAATCTATTTTCTTGTAGCAGAACATTCGAAAAGATCACTAGTGATCTCTATCGGGTGGTCTAGGATCCTAAGGAATCACTTAGGAATTTTGTGAACAGGTTTGGAAGGGAAGCTCTAAGTATCCCCAACATCGACATGGCGACTGCAGTTGAAGCCTTTAAAATGGTCTTAATGAAGGATTCTCCCTTCCATGAAGACCTCGTAATGACTCCATGTAAGAGGATGGACGAAGTCAGAAGTAGAGCACTAAGGTTCATCAGGCTCGAAGAAGACAAGGAGATCCAAAAGAGGAGCAACCCACCAAGCTCTTATGATCACCCTAATAGAAAGGTCGACTCCTCGGCCCAAAGATCCTATAAGTCAAAACCATATTACAAACATGACCATCATACGATTAGTGCCCTTGAAGATGAGGGAGGGGAAGAAGATTTTCCCAAAATTACTGACTACTGTTTTTATATGGATTTTTCAGGTGTAATATTTTATATGCGGGATCTTGGAGACAAAGCAAGATGGCCAAGAAAAGGAGAAAAATCCACCGCTTGGAAAGACAAGTCCAAATGGTGTGCATACCATGAAGACTTTTGCCACATCACAGAGGATTGCATAACTCTCGGGAAGGGAGATCAGCTACCTCTTAGGAAAAGGATACCTCAAAGAAATACTTGGAAGAAAAAAGCAGAAATCTAAAGAGAAAGATCAGGATCCTCAGAAGATCCTCGTCAGACCAGGATCCCTCCTGCCGATGCCAAGGTAATCAATGTGATCTCTGGAGAATTTGACATTTGTGGTACCTCTTATTCTACAGCAAAGAGGCACGCCAAGGCATCCAAAACGGAGAAGGAAAAAATACCATAAAAGAACACATCAATCACAAACGAGAAGGAGATCACCTTCGAAAAAGCAGATAGACAAGACATCCAGGATCCTCACCATGACAAATTGGTGATCACTCTCTACATCGCAAACCATTTCGTCAGAACGATCCTCTTCGATGGAGGATCCTCAGTCAACATCATACTCTTGGGTGCGTTAAAAAGAATGAACATACCAAAGTTTGAAATAGTTAGAAGATCCTTAGTGCTGATCGGATTTAGCGACGAAACTAAACACACTGTCGACGAAATAAAGCTGTCTATCTACATAGAGGGGGTAAACTCTATACAATGTTTTTTTAATTGACACGTTATCCTCTTATAAAGTTATACTAGGAAGACCATGGATCCACGAAATGAAGGTCGTCCCATCGACATATCATCAATGCCTAAAGATGCCCACCCCATGGGGGACAGTGAAGATCGTAGGAGATCAATAACAATCCAAAGAATGCTACAAGACTTCGATGAAAGCCTCGACAATACCACGACAATCATAGCAATTAAAGAATGGAGAACTAGACATATTGGAAACATGAGAAAAAGATATAAAAGAAGTGCCCCTGAACCTTGAGGGTCCTGAAGCCAAAGTTATCATAACCTGAACAATTCGAACATGATCTTATAAAGCTCCTCAAAGGTAGAAGCAATACATTCGCATGGAAGCATGAGGACATGACAGGTATAGACAAAAGTATAATCACCCATAAACTTAACATTGATCTATCTTTCAGACCAATACACCAAAATAGAAGGAAATTTGCACCGGAAAGAAACTAAGTTATATAAGAAGAAATAGAAAACCTTCTCAAAACTGGGATGTCCAAGGAGGTGAAATTCCCAAGGTGGCTAGCTAATGTGTTCATAGTACAAAAGAAGAATGGTAAGTGGAGAGTATGTGTAGATTACACAGATCTTAACAAGTTTCCCTCTACCACACATAGATTCCATGATAGATGCGACAACGGATCATGAATTATTGACTTTAGTGGATAGATCCAAGAGAACCTGGAATAATCATAAAAAAATAATGCATAGTATCGAAATCCATGTACATATGTAACAGGAGTTGGTCCCCAAAGGTCGCAACATATTAAATCAAGAACAAATGCAAATCATTTCTCATTAACTGTAAAAGGGAGTCGACGACTCTTTCCTACTTGACAAGGTGCACGGATTTTATGATCTAGCAATAATTTAGACGAAAATAAGTGACCTTGTTTATTTAAAGCATAAATAATAGAATTTTGAACATGGCCAAAACGAGCATGCCAAATAGTAAGGGACCCATGAAGCATGTGTCTTCGTAGGGCAACAGAGAAAGTCGAGTGAGCCTAATGAAGCACATATAGATCACCTTCAAGTTGTCCTTGGACCAATGGGATTCTTGTCTTGTGATTCTGGATAATAAAATGATTGTGAGAAAAAAGAACGTCAACCTGGTAATCTCGAGTCAATTGAATAATAGATAAAAGATTCTTCGTTAAATGTGTTATAACCAAAACATCTAGAAGTTTAAGATTAGGAGCAAGTGTATAAGAACCAATATGAGATACCCCAATAGAACCACCATTACCAACAACCACTTTAGGATTACCTTGATATATGGATGACGTGTCAAGATTAG